TTGGGATCATCCTCGTGACCTCTCCTCCCTGGTAAAGTCTCACATTCGGCAGTAACCTGTTGACCACTGTGGTTTCAGAACGCTATTTTGGTGGGGTTGGGCCTCTCCTAGGTTGGTTGCCCCTCCTTCCCACCCTACTTTCTGGTACCGCGGCGTCTGACACTCGATCGTATCTCGATTAAAGCCGTCCTGATTGCCGCACGCCTGCGGATTCTATTCATGTGTAACTATTTTCTTTCGCTGGTTGGATACTTGTGCCGTACAAAGCATGGGGCACTCGTTCCCATATGTGTTATACATCTTATTTTACTATACAAGGCATATAAAGATTAATTTAATTTTTTTCTCCACGAACGTAAACATCAAGTAACATCTTTTTTTCTGCTGCTCGAGGTGTGCTGCTATCATCTTAGTATTAGGTGGTTGAATTGATTTTTTTTTATATGCATGGCCCTAATTTTTTTTTTTATTAAGTTCTAAAGTCTGGTTAGCCCCTTCCTTTTGATACTTCGCTTATATCCTACAGCAGTATTGATTTCAAATGCATTACTTCAAAATCTTATTTTTTTTCTTGTTCGTTCTTTTTTAGTCAGCTTTAAACTAGCTTTTTGTCTCGGTGGCTACTTTATTTTATTTTTTCCATCAACCACAAAGATATGGGCACCTGATATTTAATCCTTGGTGTTTTTCTGGGCTTTTTTTTCAATTACTGTGATGTCGGTAACAAAAAAAAAACTCTTGAGCCCTACAACGAGCAGGTAACATAAGATTCATAAGTGCATCGAAAAACTACTCGCTCTATGTATACAATACAGTCACCTCTCTCTTAAGTGTCGCCCGCACTATCCCAACTGCTGTTGCATGAGCCCAGCGTTCCGATGGCGCGCAGGGAGCACCCGACTGTTCCGTAATAACGCTGTCGCTTTTTTTGCATTCGAATTGTACGCCCCGTGACCTTCGCTTATGCTGTGCGCAAGCACTTACCTTGCTGCCGTTTATATGGCATTCATTGTACTAGTTTAATCCGTTTGTCGTGCTACATTTCCAATTTTTTTTTCCTTCGGAAACACTTATCCCATTTGAGATCATTGCACTGCTGTTCCCTTGTAATTTCTTGCCGTGCATGCTCGTATTGTACTTTCGCCCGCGCTTAGTGACCTTGCATTGAATTTACTCCTTTCACATTGTCATCTCACACGACTCGCTCTCCGTCTGTCTCGCACTAGCAGCGATGTCCTCTTCTACTCATCAGGTGTTGTTGAGGGTTTCACCACCCGCGCGGTGGAAGCTGCGGCTGTGGGACCACAACCGCCGGACAGGCAGCTAGTGATGCCGACCGAGGGGTTTGATCTAGAGCAGGGAGTTGTAGTAGGAGTAGCTCGTGCGGTAATGTGGTGGGTTCCGGGATCGCGTGTCTACTGCAAGTTGGTGAACTGTAGTAAGGAGAAGGCGGCAGTCGAGGGCAGCCGGGTGATAGCTCGCATGATTGCACTCAATGTTCGCGACAAGCCGGCTTTCGATTCGCTGTTTGACATCGCCCCCTCCGCTGCCGACCAACCCCTGCCTCCCCGTGGACCGCGCGCCCCGAGCCCGTCCCCACCTAATGGGGCATCCGTGCCGCGTGTTCGCGTAGAGGACGCCAACCTGGGGACGCTGGGGTCGCTCAAGAAGCATCAACTCGTCAACGTTCTCGCAGCGTTCATCGAGGACGGCCTGTTTCCGATCGACCCGAAACGAGTGCCGGCCTGCATGAACGGTGAGCTTGAGCTTCCTCTGATCAACGAGTTTTGCACGCCTTTCGCAGCCAAACAACGGCGTTTTTCTCCGGAAGAACGACGCATGATCAGGGCAGAGATTCAGCAGTTGGTAGACCGAGGAGTGATCCGTCAATCCATGTCTCCTTGGGCTGCCCAGTGCTTGTGCGTCAAGAAGAAGGATGGTACGCTGCGACTGTGCATCGACTGGCGTGAACTCAACAAACTCTTGGTCTCCGATAGTGGGGGTTTGGGTGACATGCAGACGATATTCGACGGGTTGAAGGGCAAGAAGTATTTCACTCAGCTAGACCTCGCCTCCGGTTTTCACCAGATGGAAATTGCCGAGAAAGACCGTTACAAGACGGCCTTTCGAGATGCGGATGGAATGCTTTGGGAATTTACGCGCGCGGGTTTCGGCCTGACGGTGCTTCCGGCGGCCTTTACTCGTAGAGTGAAATCGGCTCTGGGGCATCTAGCAGGCGTGTTTAGCTGGCTTGACGACATTCTCATCGCTAGCGACTCATGGGAAGAACATCTCGCCACTCTGACGCTCGTTCTGAACCGCCTTCTGGCTGCGGGGCTGTCAGTAAACTTCGCAAAGTGCATTTTCGGCGCAGCATCGCAGGAATTCCTCGGCATGATCATCGACAGCACGGGTCTGTACCCCGCTCCGTCTAAGCTAGATGCAATCGCACGCATGCCTCGCCCACACACCGTGGAAGAGCTGCGCACGTTTTTGGGTCTTACCGGTTACTTGCGTCAGTTTGTACCCAACTACAGTTTGACTGCCGCTCCGCTCACCAACATCCTGCGCAACAAAGCCTTCGCTTCGAAACGTGCACGCAAGCTTCCTATCCCGTGGTCCGTAGCTGAGGAAGACGCCTTCCAGTCTTTACGAGAAACGTTGGCTTCCCCGAAGGTCCTTGCTTTCCCTGACCTTGAGCGTCCGTTCGAACTGCACACGGATGCTAGCACGCTGGGTGTAGGAGCTTCGCTTATGCAGACAATCGATGGTGTCACCAGAGCGGTGGCGTTCGCGAGCCACCGGTTTTCACAAACCGATGCTAGACGCGGGCCCACGGAACGAGAATGCATGGGGGTCCTCTGGGCGGTAGACCACTTCCGGCCGTACCTAGCGGGTAGACGGTTCAAACTAGTCACAGACTGTTCTGCCCTCACATGGTTGTTCCGGAGCCGTGAACTCTGCCCCAAGCTGCACAGGTGGGCGCTGCGGCTGATGGAGTACGACATGGAACTGGAATGGAAGGCGGGGGTAGAGCACGTAGTGCCCGATGCTTTGTCCCGGTTGCCTGTGGCGAACCCGGTAGAGGTCGACGTCGACGATTCGTTTCCGGATGATCTGTCGTGTGCTGCAGGCGCTGCGGTACAGCTTTTAGGACCAGAGTTGAAGGGTGTAAGGTTGGCCGAGCTGGACCCTGTGCAGGTAGACCAGGTAGGCGATGCTGACTCCCAACCCTCTCACCCCACTCCGGAGGGGGCCGACTTCCATCTGTCCGCCCTTCGAGCGTTGCCTTTCGCTGCATGTGCGGCTGTAGACCATGAGCCTGATGCCCCCCGCCGCAGCGGCCGGACCCGTACCCCTTCGGTACGATTACGACCGGCGCAGCTGCCCCCGACAAGTGTGCTGGAGGCCCTCCCGGACAGAGAGGTAATCGGCCCCTCCGCGGTGCAAGCCTCAACTCCAGCGCCATCGCCATCGACACTGCCACCGTCCCCCGTTAGTTCTGGCCACGACGACATCGGTGAGGTGCTGGCTGCACGGGGGGAGGTTACGACGTCGTCGTCGAGCCACGCGTTGNCGGTTCTTTGTGCTTGGAGCTCAAAGCGGGTGGCTCATGGCGGAGCGTGGATGGGTAGAAACGTGTGGAAAACGTATCGAAAAGGATTGTAAAAGTATTGTATTCATCGGGGGCGTGCCAGTGCTTGTCAAACCTTCACGGTATCTGGGCACGCCTTCACTCTTTGTCACTCAACGAATCTCTCTGAATCTCCACCAAATACCTCTCGCAACCAAGGAATATATGTAGAAATTTCCTATTCTTCCGCATCTCATCACTGTAACTTTCTTACGCACGTACATAACATCTCAACCGTCATACTATGCTACGAGTACCCCCAATATATCTAATAGCCCCCCTACTCGTATGCATCGTCATGCTCCGAGAAAAACCAAATTCCTCTTTACCATCTCTCCAAAACAAACAAAAACCAATATCTTCACCAAAACAATCCAAAATCCTCCAAGTCCATCACAAGAAAAATCAAACACAATCAAAACTCCTCCAAAACAATCAAGAAAAACTAAACACAACAACTCCTCCAACCTTCACCAGACTCTCTCTTTTCTCTTGTCCAATCTCTCGTCTCTCTCACTCTCTCCATCACAGAATACGAATCGACCCCAAAACACTNAAGGGGCTTCGATGGATGAACGGATGCTACCTGACCTTTATCGAGAATCGATCGGTATTGATTTCAGCTCCAGCAGAGGCTTTAGGCCTGTACCAGCAGCGCCCTGGGTGGCTTTTCTGTCGACGACACCATACGCCTCCCACGCCGCGGACTCTGCTGGAGCGGGCCGCTTTCTACGGCCAGACATCACCCAAGACAACCCTAGCTGACCTCCTGCTGCGAAGGGAGCTCGTGGTTTGACACTTGCAGCTCCCACGCGCTTCCGCAGAAAGGTTTTGACATGTGTCGAAAGTACCCTCAAAACTTTCGACGCTAACGCGTCCAAATTTTTGGGCCAGATTTCTTTCCAAACTTTTGGACATTTTTTCGACATCACGCCTGCGTGCAGGCACGAAAGTTTCGACATCTTCCAAACTTTTGAGCAAAAGTTTTGATTTTTGAGCGTGTTTAAAACGGCCCTAAGGCATAAGACAGACTCGAAACGAATCTAGTACCCAGCCGGTTTTCCTACACGCACTGAAAAGCCAATAACATCCCGTTCGACTGTGGGTATCTCTCGAACGCGTACATGTAGTTTTTTTGTTTTTGTATGCATACTCTGCTTTCCTGGTATGGTCTATATATTGATTCTGCTTGTTTGGATAATTTCAAAAAAAAACACAGCCAATCTCGGCCCGTCACGTGTATATATATTCTGTCTCTCCGACTTGATTCATTTCTGTTCCCCTCTAATTCCGATCCCCCCGCCCTTGCCCGACCGTGTTTCAAAGGTCAATCTCGACCGATGACGCACGTCTCGCGACATGTTGCGCCAGAAGTATGCGACGATGCGCCTTGTTTCGGTCCTCTTGACCGGTTCGCCTTCTTTCTGCCTGTGTTGATCGCTCTTTTTGGGTTCTCGAACAACAACGTCGTCAAGAATCCAATCTCAATGTTTGCCTGGCAGCAACCAACGGCAAAATATTCATTTCAAGTGGTGGCATAGAAACGAAAGTGCGTCTGGGCCGAGTGAGTTTTCACCGCGAAAAGGTGCAAGTATCCGCAATACGACGAAAGCGCATATGGTGATTTGAACATGCAAGTTGCATGTCACGCCAGAAGTGCGACCATGAGCGCAGGTTTGGTCCTCTTGACCGGATCACCTCATATCTTCCTGTCTTGATCGCTCTTTTGGGCGTCTCGAAAAACGTCGGAAAATTTCGAATCCCAGGGTCGGTGTGGCACCAACGAACTGCGTCATGTCCATTTCACAGGTGGTTTAGAGTTGAAAATGTGTGTAGGCCGAGTGAGTTACCACTGCAACCTAGAGCCAATAGTGATGATACGACGAAAAAGCATACGGTACGCCGCCGATGCGCCACCATGCTTTATGCGTCAGAATTGTGCGACCATGTGCGATCACTGCGTGCTATTTCTCTCCTCGTCACTGGTTTGCCGTCTTCCTTGTCGCTATCGCTCAATGTTTGTCATCTTGTCGAACATGTACTGACAAAGTCGAATCTCATGCAGGGATTCAGATCAAGTCGTTCGTTTTGACAGCGTATGTCAACAAAATGGGGACTGTGTGCATCATGAGAAACCACACGACGTTGTTTCATCAGCACAGAAGGTGTGAAAGGTGTTCTTTGTTCGATGCTTGTTGTGTCTTTTGGGGGGGGATTATTGTTTTCTTGGTATAGGATTTGAATGTGTAGGAAAGTACCAACGGTAGTGCGGGCTACTGGCCAGAGGAAAGTGCGGGCGAAGGAACTCCCAGTTAAAGGATCATGGAGGGGACAGGACCCTTGTAGCACATGTAAGAGGGAGATGGTCTGCCCATGTGCTCAGTCTACCAGAGAGAGCAAAGAACATTATTGACTGCTGCCCAAAATGATCAACAAGAATGTGGGTCTTCACCAGGGTCTCGAGGGATTGCTACGCGTGTCTAGACCATTCCTTTACATTTTGCATAAAAAGTGAATTTTGTCGCGATATGCTTCCATTTGGAACTTGGCCTAGGCCACGCTTAGAAGGTGGCAGCGCGACTGGCTGACTGAGCGGCGACCGGGACGATTAGTTTTCATTATAACCATAAAAACGAACGAAGGTTGACCGGCGATTTTTTATCACTAGATAGAAGTTCGCGGTAGATTACCAATCAATGGGTTTATCGTGTTGTACGGTGACCAACGTATTCATATATCACTACCTACGAATGTCCGGAGCAGCTCTTGTTTCATTTTGTTTCCATCCGCCGGCGGGTCGTGATCGGCCAACACAGCGAACTCAGCTAGCAGATAATTAAACCGCTAAACAACAATTCAGCTTCAGACAGGAGACGTCGACGATACTCGTCGCGTCGATTTATCACAATACTCTTATGGCTGGTAAGCGTTGTCATTTTTTGACACCATCTGCAAGCACCCGCAATTTTGTGTGCGGGAAGCTCTCTCTCTCTCTCGGGTCTACACATCATTACACAACACTACAAGAATCAATTGATATTCACTAGTAATAACTGGTTGCTAAAGGCCCCCGACACCACCAATCAAGCAAATCAAGACATCGCACCCCCGTGCATCAATCCCACCGGTAAAGATGTCTTTGAAGCCATAGACGTCTCCAGACTAGTTCCACTATGACTGGGCAATGCAATATTGTTTCTCCAACCGCGCATGCCTGCTATCGGTGAACACGGTCACGTCATCAACAGCCCCTATTCAAAGCCGTCGACATGGAAAAGCAGGGGGCGAAGCTCATGGAGGTCATCGGTGTGGTCGTGATGATGCTCGACAAGATGGACCAGTTCAAGCCTATGCTGGTCAAGCTCGGGAAAAAGGTGCGACTCGGGCACGGAGGCGGGAGTTCAGCGCAGATTGTTGCTTTCAGTCCGAAGCAGCAGACAAGCAGCTGTTCGACAGGCCGTTGAACAAGGAACAAGATACGTCAAACGAACAAACCACGCCTTCCGTCATTACAACGGGAACAAACATATGGTAGAATCTGCTTTGGGGTGCTCAATACGACTTAGCCCGCAATAGTCTTGAGATACATGACTCGATGTCGAAGGATTGATGTCTGGTACCCTTGTCGCATGGGAATGATTGATGCCATGCTTTTCGTAATCCGTTTGGTGACCGTTGTCGGCAGAAATGGTCATACTTCTTTGGATCTCAACACAGCGCCAATCGTTGGGTGTCATCAGACGGATGGTTCAATTGTGTACAATACTTCCCCTTCGGTGATAAAGGCTAACGGACAAGTAAAGCATCGGTGCTTTCGTGCATTGGGGAGTTTGAGATTCAGTCCATTCATCATTAGACCATGGCCGGGAGATGTTGCGAAGACCACAGCCACGGGTGCTTGGTGGCACAGCCATCGTTTGACGGCACCCCGCGCCTACCCTGGGAAAGATACGGAGACCGTTCGAAATCGCTCGTCAACCAGTAGACTAATACTGGAGGGAAACTGTGCGTGTTGTGCATAGCCAACCCACCCGCATGTTTCGATAGGATAGGGAACTCATCGCAGAGCCACTATTGGCAAAGTAGGAAGGAACGATAGGCCGTCGGTGATCGGTCCTACGTGAACAGTGCTCCGTCCTCTCGATGACGATGGTCAATGGCAAACAAACTGTAGTAAGGCATGCGAAACATGAGAGTACGCCCCTCCCGCCTATTTGTTGCCACCTCACCTCACCCGCAGCACGTGACCTACAGAGTGACGGACGACACGTACCCCTCAGTGGTGTCGGCCCTCGAGAAGGGACCGGGCGAGGAGTGCCACCAGTTGACCAAGGACGCCTGGGCATGGGTCACGAACACCATCGCGGCCGTCTGCACCGCCGTCGCCAGGGAAGACACGCGAGCCCCGGCCGGAGAAAAAAATGCTCCCTATCGAGAAGAACACGGCGGCAGCGGCGGTGACGGTGGCAGTCGCGGTCGCCGTGGGGGTTCTTGTGCTGTGGAAGTAAGGGAAGCCACGTAGAAGGAGTGTCGCCGCGGGTTCTTTGGCGACGGCGACGGCAGCCATGTCCCGGAGTCCAGAACTCCAACGACATGAGGGCTTGGGTGATGGTCATGGTTGGAACCTGCCCAGAAAGTGCTAGGTCACTTCTGAGATGACCGAGGCCGATGTCGCCGCTTGTGGAAGCACTTCGCAACAAGTCAATCCCGACAATCCGCCCAGGGTTGGAGGGATGCTACGATAGGGGGTACCCCCTTGGTCACATGGAGTGTTTTGGCGGATTGGTGTGTACTGCCTCAACCAACGAAAAAAATGCTTATTAGAGGGAATCTACGTGTTGTTGAACTGACGTGAAATAATGACATTTCACGAAATTTTGACGTGAACATGTTCCGCCGCTTTTTTGGGGGCAAACTCTGACGTCGATTTTTTTTTTTTTTTATTTTTCCAAATACAACACAACGAGTCCATCTCCGTCAGAGAAAAGAGTCAAAGACAGATTAGCAATGGAATCATAGCGTCAAAGAAAACTACCTGTTGTGTGTCCACGATTTCCCAGACAGCATATATGGACATCTCCCCTGCGGATAACAGGCTCAACAAGACAGTTTGGTAGCTGTGTTGTGTGTCTTATATATGTTATGTTGGGAAGGTGTAGACGAAAAGTGTTGGGCTGTTAGTTAGTCGGGTGTTTTATGTGTGGCACCCTGTTGGTTGTGGATCTCCATCCATTTTACACGTGTATTTCCAGTTTGGTATGCATTTAACGCGAGGAATATGATTTGGTAAGTAATTGAGTTTGGTATGCATATGCATGCATCTGTGTCAAATTGTGCGGCACACGGGAGTGGTCTCCCAGTTTTGTGTAATTTCATGCCCATAAATGTGCGAAGGGCACGGGAGAACATTCTTTCATCATTGCCTCCTGACGTGGTCGGTCGTAGGTAAGGCGTGTGGTTGAGGTTCCATCACCGATATGTGGGTGTTCGTGTGTTCAAATGTAATGGGTTGGTCATCTCTCTCGCCCGTGTGTAGGCAGGGAGTATGG